ATGTGCTTTGTTGGGGCCGGTGTTGTATCGAATGGATAAAGCTCCGATTACTTTAAAAGAGGTGGATACATAATATTTCTTTTATTATTTCATTATTTAAGTTTTAAAGTTTTATTTTTAGTTTTGTTATAATCTCTTATATAATTGTAATATTATGTTTATAATATCTTACACATTGTAATGTTATGTTAATGATCTCTTACATGTTTATAATGTCATATTTATAGTTTGGATCTCTCACACATTGTGATGTCATATTGTTGAAATGATTTAATAAATTGAATTTATAATATTTACTTGTTTATAAACTATCATCGTAATTATTATATTAAATACACATAAATTTATAAGAAGATTTCTTAAATCATTTTTTAGTTAACTAGTAATTTATTATTGAATACACATCATCACCCTTTAATTATTTATCTTACCTCTCTCATCTGACTTGAAATACGTGTTGAGCACATAAAAAAATATAATATATTTAAAATTCAAGTAAAACAGTGACAATATTATTTAATATTCATTTTCTTTTCATCAAGTTGACGTAAATTTTCTATTTCATCTTCATTTTTATCTAATAATAATATAACAATATTTTTTATAACATTTTTATCACATATTCTATATTTAGTATATGATAATTATTAGTAATTTCTATATTAATGACAAGTATAACTAATTAGTATATATTGTCTATAGTTATATATTTCTTTCAAATAATTTTCTATTTTAATAATTGTCTTCATGTTATCACAGTTATTACATTTATATTCTTTATATAATGAATTACTCTAATATTTTAATTTTCAAATATGTGATGTTATGATTCAGATATTCTATAGCATAATTATTTTATTGATAATTAATCACTTTTATTATATTTAACATTTTTAATAATTTAATTTAATTATTTATTATTTAATTATTTAATTTATTATATTCTTATTGGATAAATTTGAAATCATATGACTTTTATGTATAATATGTGATTTTAATATGTGATTCTACATGTGACTTGTACATGTAATTTTACATGTAACTTATTAATTATTATTACTTATTAATTATTATTATAACTTTTAATTTATAATTTCTTATAATTTCTTGTAATTTCTTATAATTTCTTGTAATTTCTTATAATTTATCTGAATTTATCATGATTGATCAGAATTTACTATAATTAACTATAATTATCTAAGTTTATTATTCATTATTGTTTATTATTATTTATATTTAATTATAATTGACTATAATTAACTGTAATTAATTGTTCAATAATTCTGTACCAAAAAATAGCTGGTCTTGTAGCTGTAAAAAAATCAAGTTATAGTCAATTAGACCTAACAAAACAAGTTGCAATCAATTAGATCCAATACAATAAAATTATAATAATTAATTCAATTAATAACTTAAATAAAATACTTGAATAATATTATACTTGAATAATACTATTACACTTTGCATTTATTAAATACAACAAAATTATCTTACATACACTAATACTATCTTGATAATATTACATATACATTTATTATATTTTGATTTATAACTTTTACATCACTAAAAATATAAAGTACACTTAGAATTTAATCACACTAAGAAGATCCACAACATCTTTTAGTAATAATGCATATTCGTTAGCAAATAAATTCATGTTATAACTAAGTTTAGCTATTTTAATATAACATTATTCACATTAATTTAGTACACAACCCCTAAAAACTCACCTATAACATCAGGTTAATGTTCATTTATTGACTATTATTTTTCATTCTTCTTGATAAATTTCATAAGTAATTTTTTTTATCTGAATATTTCTGGAGAATTTGGATATCATTAATTTTAAAAACATAAGAAACAATTTTTCTCCTTGAGCTTTCTTCAGAATGCTTCTAATAATGCTGTAATTCTTTTGTTCTATGATGAACTTAATGTAAATTAGTTTCATATATTTTATTTTTATATAGGTAACCCTATATTAAGCATGTTATGACTTCATATTCATCTCAGCCACTTTAATGTTAATCACATTTTGGCATGATATTAATTTAAACCTGTAATAATTCATATATAAGTTACAGCTGTAATAATCAAAATGTTATGTCAAATTAGTTAACTTTCAGCCACATCAACCTCTCATTTATGTCACAATAAAATGTTCACTTTGTTGCAGCATGTCCCATATTATCTAATTTATCATATTAAATCTAAAATAAAACAAATCCTACTCTATTTTTTGATAATTTATCTGTATATAATACCGCTTAAAACACCAAAAGGGCGTTTACGGATTTGCATGTTTCATATAACGATAATACACCAGTTTAGTTTTGTCCAAATCACGCTGTAGTTAGGAATGTCTATACGCATCGATATAAATAAATATTTTTATCTCATCGTCGGTTATCCGGGATCCACATAAACCCACATAACCGATTTTGAATAGATGGTTTCATAAGTCGAACAATATTCTGGATACGTAACATCACTTGGTGGTCTGAAGCAATCAATGGTTTCACATGGTGTCTATATATCATAAAAAGAAATTAAAGATAAATTTTGTATATAAAGCACATGAAGTATCTGGATCAATTGATTAAGGAAAAAGGATACAAAAAATCATAGATTTGCTCAAGTGCCAGTGTACTCTGTCCAGTGGTAATATCTTCGACACGCATATTCGATGAGGTGACATGATGAAGCAGGTGCAATATATTTAACAGAAACTACATATATATTTTAAAGAAGATATTTAGCAAAGAGAACAGATAATGTTAAAATAATAAATAGCAATATTATGTATCCACCTCTTTTAAAGTAATCGGAGCTTTATCCATTCGATACAACACCGGCCCCAACAAAGCACATAAATACAAGATCTGGGTATCAGTCCGTATCCCATCTTCCGGTTTCAACATCAAATTCGACAAGAGTAATTCGAGCATCTCAGTATTCGAATAGTGTAGTAGGCTGTGAATAAATGTGAGAAAGCTATTAGGAACATTTGTGGTGTAGTTGTGAAGATTTGAAATGTAGTCGTTGAAAATATATGGAAACATTATTGTTCTGATAGACTGTTGTTGTTGTAGTAGTAAAGATGGCGATGATTGTAATTGCGATAAAGTAGAGGATGGATCAGTATGGAGTCCAGTAGGACGAAGTACATCATCAAGGCTAAGCGCGGAAAATAAGGGTGGAAAAGCTGTTGAAGTTGTTGAGGGTGGAAGATTTGAAGATGATGTTGTTTGTCCTGGTGGATGGTCTCTAAAGGATTTCCGTGACTTTTAAACGGTCAAAAAAAATGTAGTTAATTATGAATTATTTTTTTCTTGACAAATATATATAAAACCAATACCAAATTACAAGGCACCGAAAACTCCAAAAGATGCGCATCACTCTTGACGACATTAATAATTTCATTAAATGTGCCAAGAAGAAACATATCAGCCGGCAAAAATGAAAATATTAACGCGATGGCATGAATAACAATCGGCGCGACAGCAGTGTGCCTTCGATCTCGTCCAAGCACAATATCTAACGCCATTGTCAGGATATTTTCTGGCGCGACAGGGGTTGCCATTATCTCGATACATGCTATGTAGAGAGCTTGTACCGTTGGATTTGAAACTTCGCGATAATGTTTCTCGGGGAGTTTTGAGTTTGGTTTTGGTCCGCATTTTTTTGGGGACATATCTTAATATGGAGTTTGGAATAATAAGTCAAAGGAAAATTTTTGATTACATAATATAAAAATATTTCATAATAAAAAAATAATTAAATACAGTCTGCAAGCTTTTGAAAAACCCTGTGGAAATACTTTTCATCAAAAATTTCTCCTTTATTTTGCTCATCAGACGCGTACTGCAATAACTCAGGTGCAATATCGTATTCGCCAAAATCTAGTAAGAACAAGAAATATATATAATAAATAATATTCGTACATACATAAATCAAAATTTAAAAATAATCACTTTACCAAGTAGGTGAAGCAATTTTTTACTTATTATCGGATCTCGCAGCGTATCAGAATGATAATATTGGAACAAATCTCGAATAAACGACAACGGGGTCTGATGATACTTGTATAAACATCCATACTTTTCCAATAACTTTATGAGCATCTCTTTCTCCCCATACTCAATCAATCGTCCAATCACAATATCAAGAATCGGGAGAGTTCTTGCAATCACGAAAGAATAATAAATTGGCATCTGAGTAGGGACCGGAGGATCCAGAATTTTTTTAACATTTTCGTAACCATCCATTGCAAATGCTTCAAACTCAAAGAATTCCGGATACTTTTCCAGATATTTCATCAATTTATCATGGTAGTCGTCTTCGGTCCAGTACCGTGGGTTGAAATTCAACGAGATAAAGTAATCGACTCGAGATTGAAACCCTTCAGATTTGAATAATAGGTAGTCGAGAAATCCGAACGCCACTTTGGCCTTGTGATCGTGATCTCTGTTGCCACGTATTAGTGCAAAAATTACGTGTTCAAAAGCTACTATTTGGTACGTCCATATCAGATCCCCAAGTAGTCTGTATGGCTAATCATAATTCGTGGTTAATAGAGAGAAACATTCCTTTATTTCTTATGGATTTATTAATTACCACTTCAATACCGGTAGTATCATATTCTTGATCAACCACAAAATCCACCATGTCGATAGTGTACGTGGACATACGTGACGGAGGAAAATGTAGTAAAAGTTTACGCAGTGCTAAAAATAGAATCAAATTATTATAAAATCCATTTTCAAAGAAATGAAATAAATATAAAAATAAAGAATACATACGCTCCATCAAGGTCGAGCTCACTTGTTTCTTAACCACGCATATAGTCCATATAATACACAATAAAATCGGCTGATTCTCAACTTGAGAATACTGCTGCGCCAAAAGTTCCTCTTCAGATTTCTCCAATGCCACACCTTTTAGCAGTTTTTGTGATGTATTATCTGTTTTGAAAAGCTCGTAAATCTTTGTGTGATGAAATTTTACGAGAACGTGAATGAGACTTGATTATCTTGACTAATATTTTGTTATCGGCTGATCCTATCATACAAAATATTTAAATCAAATATTACAATAGATGTTGTGCCTCAGATTATGATTTGCATCAGGTAAAGCTTCACGTGTTCGCCTTCGGCCAACTAATTTGGGTTGTGCGATACCTGACGCAAATCAACACTTGAGGCACGACATATATATACATATATTGACTGGATGGCAGCGATACAAACTTTATTAATCACATCTTTCGGTTCCAGAGTTTTCTCAATAGTCTGATTAGCAAGATACAGTTTTATGGAATCCGGAAAGTACTTGAGTGTATTTTCTGACCAGGCTAATGGTTTAGAACATAGAATGTCAAGTACGTTCTGTACAAGTTCCGGAGAAATGTCAGAAAAGCCTCTATTTAAGGGTAGAGGATAGAGAATTTAGATTTTTTATTTGTGCATAAAAGATCAAGCAATGAAAAAAAACCTGAATTTTATCAGTCTCGAAATAGTCAAAATCATAATTCGCGCCAACATTTCAGATTCAGCAAACCATATTGGTTTATCGCGATTAGGGTCTGCGATAGATCTGATAAATTTGACATTTATTTGTATCATCTACAGAAAAAAATATAAAACGTATTCAATTTAAAGCCACAGAAAAAAATTCAGAGATAATAAAAATAAACTTACCATAGCGTGGATAGCAAACATCTCAACCCCTCGGTACATCTGTCGATGTTCCAAATGTGATAGCGAGTACTTTATATAATCAAAAAAATCAGGCGCACGCGGCAAGAACTTTAGAAAGCGTAATAGTCGGAAATTGAAAAGCTCGAGAATTGTGTGTTGCCAGTACATCAAGTTTTCTGATGATGCTTGCTGCTGTTGTTGTTCACTATTTGCACCACCACTATTGCTGCTACCTCCAACGTTATTACTACCACTACTAATCGTTTCTATTTTTATCTTGTGTGAAATATCCACTTTTTTTAGTTTTTGAAATATCTCGAGCATCATTAATTCGAGACTATTAAATATTTCACAAGTTAGATTAAGAAGGAATCGCTTTAAAAAAGTAGATAAAATCATACATACGACCACGGAGCACCGTAAAGCACCTTGTACACCACATCAAGAACATATGGAGAAACACAATTAATCTGTTGCGAAGTGTCTTTGAAAATTAAACTATCTCCAAGCATCATTTTGTAAATGATTTGAGCGAGTCTAATAACAAATGATCCAAATCAACTATAACCTATGATCACAAAATGAGCAATCATAATATCAGCCACAAACCTATGTTTCTGACAAACATTCAAATACTCCAGCAACTTATAACCGAAATTTCCACCCTTCAAGAATTTTGCGTGCTGAAAACCCAATTTACTAATATTGACCGACATGTCAGGCACCAGGTACACATACAACGTGTTCGCGACTACTATTTTTTGCGCTTGACTTACAGTGGCGAGTTCGATGATTTTTTGAAGTGGCAGGTCTCGAAAGAGATCGTGGTTTGTTACTTGTTCTGAATCAAAAATTGGAAAGTTGAGAATTATCATTTATTTTATTTAAAATTAATTGATTTTTTCATACCTTTATAAGCTTTTGGAAAAGTGCGCAGTAATTCATGGCACAATGGCGAATAATAGAATGCAGGCGCCAAGGAAGGATGTCGATACTTTAAATTATTTTTATTTTTTAAAGATTCATGTTGAAGAATCAACTAAAAAAAAAAAAAGGTAGAAGAATCTAAGATTATCTTATTTTTATTAAAGATTTGATTTATGCACTTTAACATAAATACCCCACAAGGCAAAGACAAATCCCTTAGATAGAACGCGTCTCGTGATTTGATCTGATTTTCATTATATAAACTGATAAACATGAGGAAAAGGCGTTCGTCCGATTGAAGATCTTTTGATATTTCTTTTGAGACATTTTCAATATCTTTATTGTTAATGGTTCTTCATGTTAAGTGTTATAACGTATAGATATTTTGATTATCTAGTTTTACAAAAATCTTACGCGTAATAAAATCGAAACTGAAGATAAAAAGGATACGCCAAAGTTGTAAAAGCAACCAAATCAATGTATTATCTTTTGCAATAATTGGTCGACGACGAGGTTCAATACTATTGTTGCTATGTACCAGATTGACGAAATCTGTGAGCAAATCTTCGTATTTTAAGTAGCTGACAGGTAAAAAAAACCCCCCGAATTAAAATTAAATGTTTAGCAAATACATAAGAATGAATTAAATTTAAATTAATATTTACTCTGCAGCAACCAAACTATATAGCTGATCAGCGACTTCTAAAATAAGCTCCCAGTAATCCAGATTTTCTGGTATCAACATTTCCGACGGCTGTGCTGAATAATCTATTCAATCAATATCCAATTATTCAACAATTCATTTTTGCAAAGAGAAAAATTCCTCAATAGAAAAAAACCTTTTATTGCTCTAAAATCACATCTTCGCTGCGTATACTTTAGCACATCCAAAACCCTTTTGCGAATAGCCGCGCGTATCTGCTGCAACCCAATTCGACTCGATTTCATTAGCTTTACCATTAATTTGACTTCTTCAATCGGTGCATGTTGGAAAAACATGTCGCGAAAGTGTGATGCTAAGTCGGTGGTTTGCTCGTCTTTGATCAGTTGTTGCTTTTTTGTAAAAAGATATTGTTTTTTTTTTTCAATTGGGATTGAGTAACCAATCATAAAATAAAGAATACATACATATTCACTAGCAAATGGCGTATTATTTGGTAAGGAAGCTAAATGAACATATTCATGACTACGACTATTCATAGATCGTATCAAAGAATAAAAAAGTTAAATAAGGTAAGACACATTATTTAATTTTGATAAAAAAACCTGTAAGAGGAAATTAATGGCCAAAATGAGTCTATTTAAAGCATATCAAAAATATTAGAGTTTATAATAGGTATTTGATACTAATAATATTATTATTATATATGTGTATCACTTGCCAGGTGGAATCATCAACTGTGAAAGTTTTTTTCTTCGTTTACAAAGTTCATCAATGATTTGTTCCATCGACCAATGAACATATTTGAAACGCCCGTTCACTGGTTCACCGTAAATATTGGGTAACTATGCCTCCCGAAAACAAAAATTGCCAGAAAAAATTAGCAGTTAAAATTAAAAAAAAAACTCACTACCGAGAAAAACAAATCATATATAAAATATACCTCCACAATGATCTGATAAAAAGAAACAACACCAACACCACTACAACCTCTCCCGACCAAAAGTGCATCAATAAATTGATGACTCTTATCGACACACTCAAACTGTACTTCAGAAAGTATCTTTGGCAAAGTATTACACATCTTAAAAATCCCTTTAACCACTTTAACCAGGGCAACAACTAATTCCAATTTCACTTGCACAAAATCACGTTCATGTTCTCGCATGATAATCAAGAGGAAACAAATCGCGCCCATCCATAATGATGGAAAATTGATATTGAAAAAGTTTGGAAAAAATCGAAGTAATTGTGGAATTGTAACTTGTGGCTCTTGTTGCATTGAAGCACGTGATATCATATTGTTGTTGTTGTCAATGTCTGGTTCGACAACTATTAATGTTGATGGCATCGGATTTTGACTGAGTAGTTTCTTGATTATTGAGAATATGAAACGTATTCGAGGCCATGAGGATGGATGTCTCACGAGTAATTCGACCATTTTGTATAGAACTGGTTCCTGTTTTATTTTTAACATATAAATTAATTGATACAATGATAAATAATAATAATTATTATAATTTAGAAAATATACCGTATCACCAATCTCACGTGAAATTTTATTAAATTTTTCAACAAATTCATTGACGCTTTTAGAATCTATTAGGTCCAATTCAGAATACTCGAATTGTTGATTTTTTTGCTTTCTTTTAACATTTTCTTTTCTCTGCCGTTTATTAGGGCGATCAAAGAGTCTATATATTAATTAAATATATGTATACTTACATTTTATTTACTTTATAAATGTTGATATATATATATATATGTGATAATTTAATTGATTAAAGAAATCCTCTTCTCTTTTTTCCACCTCTTCCATATATACAAAAATGCACACAAACAATTAAGCCTCGTCACGGTTTTTATCCAATTGTTAATTGAAACAATAATAATTTTCTTGCTTTATTTAATCATAAATTCAGTACATACCCTAGATAAAATCCATTTGTCGAAGTTGAAGCTAATTTTTTTTCCTAAATAATACCAACAATTAAAACTCATCATTATTAAATAAAATCAATTCGAATGAACTAGAAAAGAAATTGTTGAAAATGAATTTTAAATTTTTGAAATTCTGATATTTCTTTTTCTAATATAATATTTCGTATTCATACTATAAATATTTGCATTTAAATTAAAAACAAATAATTTAAATAAATAATTATTATTTTTTCTCTTCCTTTTTCTTTACCTCTTCATACTTTTTAGCCTCTATTTCCAGGTGCTCGTCAAGCAACTTCTGATATTCTTTAGCCATATTCGAATATATATTTCAGTTGTTGAAATAGCATTTGGAGTTTTCCAATTATGGTGCGTTAAAGCCAGGTAGTATCATGTGACGTATAATTCGATCCGGATCCAGATCATGTGAAAACTTCACGTTATAAGTAATGATTGGCTGAATAGTTTTGATCAACAGACAATCGTTCACTAAAAAAATCAGTAATAATAACCAATAAAATACTACCAGTAACAATGAGCTTTAATATTCTTTGAATAAATCTACACTAAAAATAATCATAGAGTTGATGAGCAATTTTATAGTGTTTTTGGTTGATAGCAAAAATAATTGATTTTTCAAGATTATTTTTATTTAAAGATTCCTATTTTATTTGAAAAAACATCAAATATTTATCAAAGAATTCTGTTTGTATATAAAGAAGCTGGATATCTAGAGAACTTTTATTAATTCTAGCCAATATTAGTAACCTTGAAAAAAAATCAGTCAACTTTGAATACTTATATTTCTTTCAATATTTAACTAATATTTGTGATCAGAATATAAAAAAGTATTTGTCTTAATTAGATAAATCAAATAAATTCAAGTTTGTAAAATTCTAAATATGAATTGATAAGATATTGTTATTTCATAATCTGTCTAATATAGTATTCCTATGAACTAAACTGATCTTTATTTATTTTCTTAATTATTATTAATTAATAATTTTTTATTAATAGTTAATGAACAATTTTATTGAATTATAATTAATAATATTTCTATTGAATAATTATTTTTAGTAAACTATTATTTTATTGGACAATTATATTTTAAATATTATTAATTCTTAAACTTGTATTAATGATATTAATACTTGTGTTAATGCTGATAATGTCAGTAATATTTGTATTAACAACAATAATAATATCAATACTTGTATTAATAATAATGATATCAATACTTGTATTAACAACAATAATAATATCAATACTTGTATTCATGCTAACAATATCAGTAATATTCATGTTTAATTAAATTAATAATAACAATAATAGAACCAATAATATTGTATTATATATAATTTATATAAATATATTATATATTTTAACTTAGAATCAATAGATTTTTTTATAATTTTAGATAACTTATAAAGTTATATTTATATTAATTTTTGAGTTTGAAAGATAAATCACTTATAATAAATTATTGTTATTAACTTGAAAAACAGTTACTTGATAAACTTATTATTTTGTAGCATAATTTTTAAAAATCTAAAAGTAAACACATAAAACTTAGTGAAATTATTGGATATCATTCTAGCTTATTATAATAAGAACATATATTACCTATCTTTAATAATAATTTTTAGTCTCTTTTAACATAAAAACTTAGTCTTTCTCATTTTTAAATTAGTAAAAACATATAAATAACTTAAACTCAACAAAAATAATAACAATATCTCTATATTTTGCTTTTCTATTATCTTATTTTATAGTAGTTATTAGATTATTTAGTTTATTAACTAAGTTTTTAAAGTTATTTATAAATTATTATTTATTATTTATTTTTATTAAATTTTTTTAGTTAATCTTTTTGTTGAATTTTTTTAAAATTCTTGTTAAATTTTTTTTTGAATTTTCTCCAGTATAATTAATATTAATTATTTTTGAATAACTATAATAAACTTTGTTAATAATTTTTTTCTTTACTTTTTCTTAATAATGCTTAAAATTAATTAAAAGTTAATTTGATTATTTAATTAAAGTATTTTTGAATTAGAATTAGAATTTGCTATTTATTTTATATTAGAATATTTTATTACTGATTTTTTTGTTCTTTTTTGACAAAATTAATAAAAAAAGCTTGAATTTCTTGTTTAGTTAATTCAAATTCTTTTTTTAATAATTTATATTATTTTTATAAATTATTTCTCTATGAATTATTAAAAATAATTTTGAAATCTTTATTAGAATATTATTCTAATATTAATATATTTTGAAATAATCAAATTTCTCTCTAGTTATATCTATTTATAGTCATATTTAAAGATAAAATTGCAATTAGTTGCAACTTGATTGCAATTTTCTGATTGACTATTGCAATTAATTATAATTAAATCACAATTTTCTGATTGAATATTACAAGTTGCAATTAATTAATATTATCTTTAATCATATTTTTCTATAATTATCTAATTTTGCTTTTTCAAATTTTTAGTTAATAAAAAAATTTCTATATTGTTACTATTTTAATGAGACTTTGAAATACTCAAGGGTATTTATAATATTCAAAGAGGAAACTCAAATGTCTTAATAACAATTCACAGTCTTAATAATACTTTATGACTTTAGACTGAATATAAGTTTAAGTACTTATAAAAATTACTTAAAGATTGGTAATAATTATATTCTTTTAATGCAATAACTGAACTGCTAAAGAGAATTCTCAAAATCTCAAGTCAAAGTTATAAAGATTATAATATTCATATTATTAGTAATACAAGATCAAAAATAAATATATGAATAATGTATTATTAGCAATATAAAGTCAAAAATATATTTTATGAGCAATGTATTATTAGCAATACAATCTCAAAGATAGATTTATAAATTATAATAATAATTCCTTTATTTAATATAATGTTCAATAGGCTTCATTACAATGTGTTCAGAAAGTCTAAGATAAAGATGATAGCTTTTATAATGCTCCTAATAACATGCTTAAATTATTATAATATTGTTGTATAATGACCTTTCGTTATAATATTTTATTGGATTATAAATATCTCATATCTTATTGGATAAAGATTAT